GAGCCGGGCCGATTCGTGCGAAGATGTTACAGCGGGCTCTACCACTGTTAAATTTGACTCTTAACACTATCCTTTATTAGTATCTCACTAATTTAAAAGGTATTATAGTTGCAACAAATAAAAAAATATATACTAGGCCATGGGCGTATAACTCAACTAAAATGTATGACCTGCAGATCACCTCACGTTTCGCATGTATGAAGCAGTACGTAGCTCAGATCAATTAGAACTAGAGTTGTAGAGTTGCGAGTCACTAGGCTGTACGAGATGTAAACCGGCTTTGTTTTAAATCGCTACTGACTCGGGGCTCTTCACCTCCCATAGTTATTACATAGCGTTGAGCCGTGAGCTGACTAGTTGATGAGTCATAGCTCAACGCTCTATGACCAGAAGTTGTGAGCCGGACGTCTCAGCTTAGTATATAAGTATTTTTACGACTTACATGACTTTAGACAATAAAAGAGAATTATAGTTTAATAAATTGTAATTTAATAGTATTTATAACCCAATGGAAGTTTAATTGGTGTTATAACATTGAATTAACAGTTATGTTCAGGTAAAATAGTTTATTATTTTTAGTACAAGGTTTAATCAATCATATATTTTAATATGATAAATACTTATGTATTTACTAGCTGTCGCCCGCGACTCCGTCCGTGCAGAATTAAAAAAAAAAACAAAATTAGTAGCCTATGTGTTCTTCCAGACTATATTTTATGTGTATGTAAATTCATCGAGATCCGTTCAGCCGTTCTGAAGATATCTTCAATCAAACATCCATGCATACATCCATCCTACCATCATTAATCTAAACATTCCCATTTATAATATTAGTAAGTAGAAAGATTAGTTCTTAGTAAGTAACGCTGGCGTGACGCCGTAGTGCTGGACCTGCGGGAGCTTTTAACAGTGGTAGAGCCCGCTTTAACATCTTCGCACGAATTAGCTCGGCTCGCCCGATGAAATATCACGACCACACAGAAGACAGGCGTGAAGTGGAAGCAATTCCGCATTTCGTCTGATGAGTGTGCGTCCCGGAGGCCTAATTTAGTCCTCTTTCCCTTCCCACTTTTTTTTCTTATAAGGAAATGATGGGATGTGGAAGTGGACTTTCCGGATGAGAGGATGCGTGGAAAGGGAATATATTTTCTTTCTGTGCATCTTTGTATGTCTATGGGCAACAGTCACTTCGCTATACCAGCGATTTCAGGTGGCCGCTAGCTCGTTTGCCACCTTATGACATAAAAAAACAGCATAATAAGGATATAACTTATTTATAATTTTGGTATTAACAGTTTAGAAGTATAAGAGTTAATAGTATAGAGCTTCATTACATTACTAACCTAGTTACATATATATCTCGAGGTCTGCACGTGGCCTCTTACTGACCTCTAATCCACGTAGACAGCGTATCAAGTCATGGTCAATGTTACAAACTTCTTCTCAAGTTATAGACAGTTTAACTGCCTACCGGGGGCATGTGTTTAAACACTTGAACAAGTTATAAAATTCCCATGCAATAATTAATAGTTAATTATAATGAATAGAATAAAAATTTATGCGTTAATTTAAGTGTAAATCTTTTTGTAGTTTTTTTTTACCAGTAATTTTCTATTATACAATTTTAATTAGCAATACTAATTTAGTTATGATTTCGCGTAATTATTACGCGTTAAATTAGATTTTAATTAATAATAATTTAATTATAACCGGAAAAAATATGACAAGGAAGGATAAAGTTAAAAATGTGTATATTAGAGGAAGTTTGAAAGTAGCGTAGTGATCGAGAAATTGAGGAGTAAAAGATTAGCGTGGTTTGGACATGTTATGAGGAGGGATGATGATGATATAAGCAAAAAAGTAATGAGATTGAATGTGAATGGCTACAAGGGTAGAGGAAGACCAAAAAAAGTATGGAATGACTGTGTGAAAGAGCATATGCGTAAGAAGGGGGTAGACTCGGATATGACGGCTGATAGAGATGTATGGAGGAGTAGTACATGCTGTGCCGACCCTCGATAGGGATAAGGGCTGGTTAATGATGATGATGAACCGGAAAAAATATTTACTAGAAAAATAGAATGAAAACATTTTTTTTTTAAAAAGATTTCGTGTTTTTTTTAACTTACTGAGCTTAAGATAAAATGATACGAATCTTTATTACAAAAGGAAGCTTTGTTTAAAAGGATCTTCTTACCAAAGATCTAATCTTAGTATCCGAATAAAGACATAATTTCATATTAAAAGATTTTTTAACATCCTGTACATAATTATTGTCTTATTTTAGTTAAATTTTATTCACTACCAAGTAATGAATACAGCCTATCTCATCCGGGGATAACGTGAATTCCCAAGAGTGAAAGAATTTTTCAATAAGGTTCCGTAGTTTCGGAGTTTATTCAATGCAAACAAACAATAAATATACTATATTCTCTTTATTATCTTACTTCTTACTAATATTATAAATGCGAATGTTTCGATGGATGTAAGTTTATTCGAGCGTCGGTGGCTCAGGGGTCACGCACTTGACTTGCAATCTGCAAGTCCTGGGTTCGAATCTCGCCATGTACCAATGTGTTTTTCGATTTCCGATTTACATATGTACATTTATCCGACGTTCTTACGGTGAAGGAAAACATCGTGATACAACCTGCACATATCTGAGAAGAAATTCAAAGATATGTGTGTGTATGTGTCAACCAACCCGCACTTGGCCAGCGTGGTTGACTATGACTAATCATCCTTAACTTAGGGTAGGCTTCGAACCCCTCGGACGTATAGTGAGCTGATGATGAAGTTTGTTTGAAGGTATCTACAGAATCATTGCATGGATCTTTGTAGAATTTGTCATATATGTAGAACATTGTCTGGAAGAACACATAGGCTACATATGTAAATTTTTTTTTATTCTTCGCGGATGGATACGAGAGCGACATCAACTATACCATAAATACTAATATTAAACTTTCGTTGTCAGTTTGCGTACAGTAATTGGAATGCTTTTGTCTTGAGCAAGTTTTTTACGTACGTCTGAATGTAAACGTGATAAAGATATTAATCATCACCGCGCACTTTATAAGCGTAGGTTTTCATTGCCGGTAAACTGTCATCCAAAAAAATCCAATAATTAAAATCACAAATGATAGGAATGATATTTACTATTCCTCGATTGACTATTACGGTCAAAAAAAAACAAAACTAAAAAAAATAATTAAGCAGATAAATTCGCGGGCGAAAGCTGCATAAAAATTAAAGTTTAAATTTTTTCTTTATTTCAAAAGGTGGCAAACGAGCGAGCGGCCACCTGAAATCGCTAAAATACCGAAGTGACCGCTGCCCACAGACTTACGCATTTGCATATGCGTTGCCCACCTTTCATCGACGGAGGAGAGGATGCACAGAAAGAAAATATCTTCCCTTCCCATGCATCCTCTCATCCGGAAAGTCCACTTCCACTTCCCATCCTGCCCTTATAAAGAAAAGGATGGGAAGGGAAAGAGGACTAAATTAGGCCTCCGGGACGCACACTCATCAGACGAAATGCAGAATTGCTTCCAATTCACGCCCGTCTTCTGTATGGTCGTGGTATTTCACCGGGCGTGCCGGGACAATTCGTGCGAAGATGTTAAAGCGGGCTCTACCACTGTTAAACTGTATACTTTGTAGTAAATATAAGGATCATCATCTTTCAGTTCTTTTTCCAACATATAATCGGGATATTATACATACATCATACGTCTTCCATACCCTTCCATTTATTACCACTTCACGCTTGTCTCTATGTGATCGTGCTATTACACCAGGCGAGTCAGCCAATTCGTGCAACAGATGTAGCGTCCACTGTTAAAATATCTCTACCATCCCTCTTTCATCCAATCCATACATACATTCTTCTTTCTTTTGACAATTCATCCACATTCACATAGCTGATATGTACGACTGTTATGGAAACTAAAGACAAGTTATCGCTGCATATAATAATAATAATTCTCCCGCTGATCTTGATATCAGTCTGACATTTCCTGCATGTTATTTTGTTATTTACTACTCATTCCTTGAAGATTTATCTTTTCTGTTCAGCGGGGCTATACTAAGTGCATTCGCTTCAAAGCGATTCCATAACGAACTTCAAAAATGTATAAAACTGACAATAACTTTCGATAAGTCACGTGATTGTCGCGCGTCAGTTTCATACATTTTCAAAGTTCGCTATGGAATCGCTTCAAATCGAATGCACTTTGTTTAGCCCAGCAGATTTTTTAAATTAGTGTGATGGAATAATTTACTTTCATATAATTAAAACTAGAGATCGCCCGCGACTTTGTCTGCGCAGAATTAAAAAGAAAATCATATAATATACTCGAATGCAACAGCTACATTCCAGTCCAAGTCCCGTCAAAATCGGTCCTACCGTTCCGGAGATTACCCGACACAAATGCGGCCTGGACAGACACAAAAAGCATAAAATGCAGACAGAAATTTTAGATATGAACAAACTCCAATTTTATTAATATATATATATAGATAATAGATAACTAAATATAATTCTAAGAAAACCTTTTAATTGTATGGCAGTTTTTAAATAAAACCTTATCAGTATTTTTTTTCTAACGGACGTACTCGTAAAAATGTTGTCGACCTCTGGTTGAACAGACGGCGTGCGTGCATCGTTGTCCTTAAACTTGGCAATATCGACCGACAGTCGGAGCAAACACGACCACACTCGTTGACGTGACCGTAATCGATTTATATATCGATTTATTTAATTCAAATCGATTTTTTTAAAAACTGGCAGTGTATAATTTATTTTTAATCAAAGCACAGGCTGATTTAAATATTTAAATTTCGAATTCTATTCTATAAATTTATAAGTGGTGTTTTATTTTTTTTGTTTTTTGATTTGTTTTGTCAAGGAAGTGTTATAATTCGCGATAGTAAATTAAAATGTATAATAATATTTACGTGTTTATTAAAAACTAAGTTTATAGAACTAAGAAAATTTTATGATTCCGTGAGTAACTTTTCTTATGACTATCTTACTAATATTATAAATGCGAATGTTCAGATGGATGGATGTTTGTTTGAAAGTATCTCCAGAACGGCTGAACGGATGACTATGAAATTTGGCATAGATGTAGAACATTTTCTAAAATAAAACATAGACTACTAAGTTTTTGATTCCGCGCGGACGGAGTCACGGGCAACTGCTAGTTTTTTATATCTTTGTATTTGCTTATAACATTGTAATTGTATAATTTGTTAGTACTACAGTATTTTTAGTTATTATCCTTTCGATACCAAAGCGTTGCCAATAGGTAATTTTTTTTTTATTGAAAAATAACCTTTTTAAAACTAACAATAATAAAGCTTCGGTGGCTCAGAAGTTAAACACTTAACTTGCAATATGCAAGTCAAGTGCTTAACTCCTAACTTGCTGGGCCTGAGTTCGAATCCCACCATGTACCAATGTGTTTTTCGAATTCCGATTTACATATGTACATTTATCTCACGTTCTTACGGTGAAGGAAAATCGTATATCTGAGAAGAAATTCAAAGATATGTGTGTAGTTATCCAACCCGCACTTGACCAGCGTGGTTGACTATGGCCCGATCACCCTTAACTTAGGATAGGCTCCGAGCCCCTCGCTGGGGACGTATAGTGAGCTGATGATGATGATATTTTATATTAATTCTAAATATATAATTAAAATAATTATATTCATTCTATAATAATTATTACGAGTAAAAAGATATTGCAAAATAACATAATTACAAACCAGTTGAACTATACATGTTAAACTGGTTTATAAATTTAAAAATATATTTAAGCCAATTTGGTTATCAATCAGAATATGTTATATATTACAAAAAAAATAGCAAAAAACAGGAAATATGTTAGGATACTGATGTAACTGACCTTTATAAATGAACCGGTTTACAGACTATTTTGTTTTTGGATGGATCGATTTTTGTTAGAAGGTATCTCCAGAACGACTGCATATATCTCCCTTAAATTTGGCATAGATGTTGAACATAGTCTGAAAGAACACTTAGGCTACAAATCAAGTTTTTAACTGACAGTTTTTTTACAGATTTCGGAATTAAAATTAACTAAATAATATAATAATTACAATAAATTAATAAATAAAAGGTTCTTACGGTGAAGGAAAACATCGTGATGCAACCAGCACATATCTGAGAAGGAATTCAAAGATATGTGTGAAGTCAACCAACTCGCACTTGGTCAGCGTGGTTGACTTTGGCCTAGTCACCGGGTAGGCTCCGAGCTCCTCAGTGGGGACGTATAGTGAGCTGATGATATAATAAATAAAATAATAATTAAATTAATAAAATAAATAATTGAGATTCGATTATTCAAACTTTCGTGAGACATTATACTAAACTGATATAAACACGACTAAACAGTGAGCGACGGGCCGCGTCCGCGAAATAATACCAGTACCACTCATCCTGATGAAGGGCCCCCGATGGGCTCGAAACTAGTCGGTGCTACCACAGGACGAATATACGTGAGTGTTTAGCCGTGTTTATATATCAATTGAGATTCGAAATAAAATTTCCATGCTGTAAAAAAACTCATTACAAATTTTTAATATTCCTGTGAAGTCTATAAAAGTAGTAATTGTTTATATTACAAGAAATTCAAAAAGAGAACATCTAACGGTTATATTTGCGTTTACGAGGTTTGCTTTTAGTTTAATTCCGCTGTATAAATATTTGCGTTACTGTCGTATTGGGAACTCGTTTAAATGTGGAGGTCAAGTAAATATAGTACTGGTAAAATAGATTAGTATCAAAGAGTATAAGTAATTGAATAAATTAACATATAATTAATAGTTATTTATTTTATTTTTATTTTATTTAAAAACTGCATAGCGTCCTTAAAGTATACAACCAATTTGACACTATACACACTTTACATAACAGTTTACACGATAACATATTTTATAATAACAGTAAATAACACATAACAATGATAAATAAAAATAAAAAAAAATACAAAGATAAACAGTGCAAAAATATATCAACGCGTAACTAAACATCAATATTCAAACGTCTTCCACACATCTGTACGCAGCCTCTGTTATATTTAAATAGAAAAAAATAATGTGTGTTTTGCTTTGAAAATGTTGATTCTTAATTGTTTTTGTTATAGGAGAGGAAATTTTCTTAAGGATACCATTCCTTTTGGAGAGAGAGTTATGTAGTTTATTGACTAAAATCTCCTTGGTGGATCTCTATAGGAATCGACGTGACAAGACGGAAATTTATTTCGCGCGAATTTGTGACTTTACAAGTTAGTGACGGTCTATAACTTTGAACCGAATAGAACCGATTTTGGCGAGGGAGATGTCAATTGATTCCTATACTTCCCCTGACAGTAATAGGGTCTGCTGTCAGGCTGGTTTATGGTTTTTTTTAATCACAACCAGTTTTAAGATTATAGCATTGCAATGCCAGGTACAGCTAGCAGAATTAATTAATAGACCGGTTTCCACCATCACTATTACTAAAGAGGTACTTTATTGTAAATTAGAGATTCTAAGTTCAAAAGATACTATGTTTTTAGTCTTCTTCAGTATCAAGTACTGGCAGGTAACCGATTTATATTTTCTTTAGATTGAAATTTCGAACAAAAGTGGTTAGGAAAAAGACACAAATTCCATGTTCCACTTCGACTGCGCAAATTAAAAATAAATTCCAGCTTGATACCTTCACGCGTTATTGAGAAAAAGGGCCTTGACAGAAAGACGGACGGACAAGAAAGTGATCCTATAAGGGTTCCGTTTTTTCCTATGAGGTACGGAACCCTAAAAAGGTTTAATTTATCTCATATTTTACTCAAGACTATGTTCTATGTCTGTTCCAAATTTCATTGTGTTGAACAGTTAAACGTTTTAAATCAAACGTATCCCACGGGAACCTTATATATTTTAGAGATTATAAGTAGCCTATGAGTTCTTCCAGACTATGTTCTATATCTTTACTAAATTTTGTCTACATCCATGCAGCCGTTTTGGAGATAAATTCTAACAAACATGTTATTACATACAGATAAGTATAATTAAGTAATTTTAAGGGAAATGTTGTTATCAAATTAATAACTTAATTGGTTAATTCCGGTCACTTAATAATTGAAACTTTATTAATTACGATTATTTCTTTTCTTCACATCTTACTAATATTACAAATGCGAATGTTTGGATGAATGTATAGATTTATGTTGAAATTTGGCACTAAGTTACTAAGTTTTTTTTTATTCCGCGCGGACGGAGTCGCGGCAGCAGTTAGTGTGTTATAATTTCAACAAATGTTTGGTATTTACAAACCCATCTAAAAACACTAAGCCTGTGTTATTTATGATTTAAGTTTAAGAATGTATGTAAAGTTTTCACATGGTGTTTCCCAAAGCTTTTACACTTAGTGCATTTTCATAGGATGCATTTATGATATATGACTGCAATCAAAAAACTTTGATGCATACGGTGTTATTTATTACTATGCTTAAAATATACTTAAAAAAATAAGTAACAAATTTAAAAACATATTATCTCTGATATTATAAATGTGAATTTTAACAGTGGTAGAGCCCGCTTTAACATCTTCGCACGAATTGTCCCAGCTCGCCCGGTGAAATACCACGACCACACAGAAGACTAGAGTGAAGTTGAAGCGATTCCGCTTACAGTCTGATAAGTGTGCGTCCCCGAGGCGTAATTTAGTCCTCTTTCCCTTCCCACCCTTTTTCTTATAAGGAAAGGATATGAAGTGGAAGTAGACATTCCGGATGAGAAGATGCATGGGAATGGAAAATATTTTCTTTCTGTGCATCCTCTCCTCCGTCGATTAAAGGTAGACAACGCATATGCAATTACGTATGTCTATGGGCAACGGTCACTTCGCCATTTCAGTGATTTCCGGTTGCCGCTCGCTCGTTTGCCACCTTATGATATAAAAATATATAGATAGTATAGATATAGATGTATGGATGTTTGTTAGAAGGTATCAGAACTGCTGTATGGTAGATTTATGTTACTATTATAATATAATAAATCTGTCGTATTTAATGTGTAAGATACGTCGACTATTTTCTACTATTTATTTACTATTATTCATAACTATTATGAAATTACACAAAAATTATTAACGAAAAACACACTGGAATAAACTATTTTTTTTATTATAGCAAAAATATTAGCAGATTTTTTCTTAATTTACTAACATTTTTTGTACCATTTCAACTAAGCTATTTTCTTATGCTAGGATATGGTTACGACAATAGTCGAATGGATTCGAACTCTTGACCACGTGTTCGGAAATCCGTACCCTTAAGCATTAGGCTATTGGCGTTTATAACTGTTAACTATTACTGCAATAAAAATAATTTATGTAATTAATTAAGTAATTAATTAATGAAAATTTTAATTATCTTAATTATTAATTAATTAATTAACTTATTATAAAATAGTGTTAACATTATTAAAAGTTCAATAATAAATGTTGTTTATTTTATAACAGAATTTTTATACTTATTATTCTCTATACAGTCTCCTCACATCACGACCGTTATTTACATATTCAAGTATCGTATTGAATCGGAAATAAGCAGAGTACATATATAATTGTATTACGTTAACTATGAGTGTTTCATGTATGCATGGATGGTGTAAAAATAATTTTAATTAAAAAGAAATAAATTACTAGCTGTCGCCAGTGACTCCGTCCGCGTGAATTAAAAAAAATAATTAGTAGCCTATGTGTTCTTCAAGGTTATGTACGTAGCGAGATCCATACAGTCGTTTTGAAGATATCTAACAAACAAAAATTTAAACATTCACATCTTACTATTATTATAAATGCGAATGTTTAGATAGATGGATGTTTGTTTGACTGTATCTCCAGAAAGACTGAACGAAATTCTATGAAATTTGCCATACATTTAAAATATATAGAGGAAGAATTTATAGGCTACTTATTAAGTCTTTTTCTGTGCGGACGGAGTCGCGGTTGACTGCTTGTTTATAGTATTAGTAAGATATATATTTTTATTTTTAAAGACAATAGATGTCAACATGTATCGTGTGAATGTTTCGGCACTGGAACTGCTAGATTGTAATTTAATTACATGATAGTAATAAGGAAGACACTTTGACCTTGCAAACTAGAAATCCTAAACCGAACTACTTAAGTTAAGGAAATATTTTAACAGTATCGCGGATATAGACATTTTGAATACCGTTAACAGTTTATATATGTTTTTAATATTAATCTTATATCAGTGTTCAAAGGAAACGTTCGGTTTTAAAAAAAAATTGAACAGAGCCTAAAAGTGTTAGAAATTTTAAATAATTATCATATTCGTCTTTTGTTTTTCATTACTTTTTTTTTGTAAATATAATCGTATGTTTGTGACCTTTTGTAGAAAAAATTGACCTGTTTTTTCAAGTGAGGTGTGATTCGATATTCTTTTGCGGTACAGAATTACGTGTAGTTATATAAAATCGTGTTAGTTACACTATTTATAACTCAAGAACGGTTTTACCGATATGGCTGTAAATTGGTGAGGAGGTAGCTTAGAGCCAGGAGACGGACATAGGATACTATTTATTCATTTTGTTAATTTTTTTTCGAATTTATACCTTGAAGAGCTGTCTTTTATTTAGCTGACTAATATTATAAATGCGAATATTTAGATGGATGTTATGTAGATGGATGGATGGTCTACACTAATTAAGTTTTTTTACATAGACACGCCGACGGAGACGCGGGCGATAGCTAGTGTATTATAATAAATTTTGTAAAAAAATTAGATAGAACGAAAGAAATATTTTTTTTACAGGATGGCGAGAGAAGACGTGATTTCCATTCATGTGATACTCGTTTTGGTGTTGGTGTTTGGTATTATTGCTGGAGATGAGTACACTCCGAGCCCTAATATTGGATACCCAGCAGGATTGGTCCCTAATTGTGAGTATACTAGATAACAATTTTAGTGTTACAAAACATTTATTTTTTTCTATTTTTTTTTTCTATTGATTTATGTTACTTAATTAGTTTGAAATTATTTATCATTAAGAATTTTGTTAAAGTTGATTAGTAGTTTGTCTGGGTTCGGAGCCTACACTAAGTTAAGAGTGACTAGGCCATAGTCAACAACGCTGACCCAATGCGAGATGACTTCACACATATCTTTGAATTCCTTTGCGTATATGTGCAGCATCACGATGTTTTCCTCCACTATAAAAATGTCGGATAAATGTACATATGTAAACCGGAAATCCAAAAATTAATTGCCAATTATTGGTAATTATCAAGAATATTCCTAGACATAAAGAGCAATAGTTTGTTGAGTTTTTTTTTACAAAAGTTTTAACCGGCCAGTATTCGCAATTAGCAGCCTACTGCGACTTAAGAAAATATATAACCTCTTTAGTGAGATAGATAAAAACCTTTTTTTAAAAGAAGATATTTGATTTGTGACAATTTCCACAGGTCCAGGTGTTCTAAAGAATGCAACGATTAGTCAAAAGAAACTGCAAATGTTAAGAATATTGGTACACAAAGTAATTAACGGCAAAGTTCATAGGACAGATTATCCTATCGAGGGTGCAGCGAAGTCACTAGCCAAAGATAAATTAGTTGGTAAGTAAATTGTAACCAAGAAGCAAATATTTCTAAGGCCTTGGAAAGAAATGGCCTTTTGATAGCCACTGTTCTCTTAAAAGATCCTAAATCTTACTAATATTATAAATGCAAATGTTTGGAAGAATGTTTGTTTGAAGATATCTCCGAAACAGCTGCATGGATCTCACTGTAATTTGGCATAGATATATAACCTGGAGGAACGGAATTAAAGAAAGACTACTAATTAAGTTTTTCTTTAATTCCGTACCATACGGAGTCACGGGCGATAGCTAGTAAAAATTAAATATAGAATTGCTCTATTTTCTGTTGTATTTAAACAAAACTGGATGACGCAAATTAAAACACCAATAGTAATAATTTAGAGACTTTTCACTAGAAAAACAAAAGATGTTTAAAATGATGCTTCTCTTTTTGTCTTCTTTTCATCGTTAAAGAATCTAAACTCAATGATTTCTTTCCAGATTTTAAAAACAAAAAGACTGTGTTCTATATCGGTGGATTCTTCGACAGCGCTTATTTTCCGTTCAGTCAAGCAATAGGAACTGTCTACTCGAAACGCGGCTACAACGTTCTGTTGTCAGAAACCTTCCAGTTTCTAACATACATATACCCCAAGTAAGTGTAATCTTTTAACTATGGGTAGCGATAGTGGTATAGTTTTGTCTCTGTTTTATCAAAGAGAATGAAAGGGATAACTATAAAACTAACTAGGATGACGCTGCAACCCGAATGCACCCTTTAATCGGAATGATAAACGCGTATTGAGTGACAGCCCAAGCCGAGGTCCCCTCTCGGGAGCCCTTGAGCCCCGTCACTCCATGGTGCGTCCACCGAAGCGACCTACGAGCTCGGCGGCCTCCCAATCCGGTAATAGTAAAGAAGTAACGGCCTGAGACGAGGTTTCTGAGGGAGCCCTCGAGCTTAGTTACTCTTAAACGAGGTTTAGACTAAGTGCCATCTGCGCTCGGCCACCTCAAGCCCGGTGAAGCTGTAAATGCCTCCTTAAGGCAAACAGTGGTAATTCAGTTACAAAAAAGCAGCAACCCAAAATAGGCTTTGGCTTCCGAGATTAAAATGAATCCCCCGCCGTCTCGTCTTAGTCGTGTACTTAGGGCTCCCTTAGATCATATGTATTGACATAAAAGTCACAGCTGTGGAATCTGGATGATGCAGGCCACACACGTAAGGTTTAGCGTTACAGTTTTGACTTACTTTATATAGTAAAACCTAACGTGTGACCAAACTGTACATACGTACTGTTAGGAATAAGATCCGATACTATTCGGGTGTACTGGCACAACACTAGCCTTACTAAAATGTCGACGTTTATGTCCCCTCACTAATCAATCTGACACTTGAATTTGTAAGCGCGCCAAAAGATTGTAATTAATAATGTACATAAGTACTATGAAATTCGAATATGCCTTATCGTTTTACCTTTAAAGTTAAAACGTTAACTTATTTTTCAAGGTTAAAATTGTGTTTCATCACAATCAAAATGTCACTAATGTTTCATTATTTTGTAGAATCTATATTATCATTGTAGTGTATGCATAAACGTAGTGTTGTTGTCTCGAGTGTACACGCCATAAGTACATGCCGGGGAGAGGGGACGTCAGTCGATGTCAGACCTTTGGACCGGCAACATGTGTCGGTACGTGAACGAGCCAAATATAACGCAACGAATGCTACAATAATTATCTGTACCAAAGCTATAATTGTATTATAAGATCTTTGTACAGTTTTTGCATACAATAGCATACCTTTGCCTTATTCTCGATACAAGTCTCTGTTCAATCTTTTTAAAAGATATGCATTTTAGGTACTGTGATCGTGTCTTTAACCTTTCTTTCGTTTATAAGACCTTTTGTTTATAGATAATCTTTATTTCATTTAACTAAGAGCGTCGGTGGCTCAAGGGTCAAGCACTTGACTTGCAATATGCAGGTCCTGGGTTCGAATCCCGCCATGTACCAATGCGTTTTTCAATTTCCGATTTACATATGTACATTTATCCGACGTTCTTACGGTGAAGGAAAATATCGTGATGCTGCACATATCTGAGAATAAATTCAAAGATATGTGTGAAGTCAACTAACCCGCACTTGGCCAGCGTGGTTGATCCCCCTTAACTTAGAGTAGGCTCCGAGCCCCTCGGTGGAGACGTACAGTGAGCTAATGATGATGATTGAAATTTACTATTATTTCTTGTACCATTCCAACTAAGCTTTATACTTGAGCTGGGACAAGGTTTAAGACAATAATCGAACCCTCCAGCTCGTAATCGGAAATCCGTACCCTTAACCTGAGTATCGACGCTTTACCATAGATTTTTGAGACCAAAATCTCCGTTTAAAACATATTCTTATCTCTGTTTGGTCAAATGAAAGGGATGACGATATGTTTAATACAGATAATTTCATCTCAGAAACCAGATAATTCTTGACTGACTTTTTTAACTTTTTGTTTTTTTTTCCAGATCTGTAAGACTGTCTAAAGTGATCGGCGATAAGATTGGTGAATTATTAGTAAATTTGCAACATTTAGGTTTGAAGGCAAATGATTTAGAAATTGTTGGAATGAGTATAGGAGCACACATAGCTGGATACGCATCTAAATATTACTACAGCGCTACTGGTAGGAAACCATCCAGATTGACCGGTTTAGATCCAGCTGGTCCTTGCTTTAGAGGATTACCACCTGATCAAAGACTAAGGAAGACAGACGCTGAAAGAGTTGACATACTACATACAAACATTGATGGATTTGGTATTGCAGAAAATCTAGGACATGTAGATTATTATGTTAACGGTGGGGAATACCAACCTGGAGATATAGTAGCAGTTCCCTGTCTTGTTATTTGTAGTCATATTAGAGCTGCGATATACTGGTGGTTAGCTGTACAGAATCCAAAGAAATTTATAGCTATCAAATGTGATTCTATTCAAGATGCGAGGTTCGCTAAATGTTATAATGGATCGGAAACTAATTATGTAGGTTTAGAGACTAAATTTGATAGACCGGGATTATATTATTTAGCTACTTATAATGAATTCCCTTATTATAGAGCAAAGGAAGGATTGATTGAAGAGAATGAAATTTACAAGTATCATGCTGGTAGAGTTAATGCTGAAGATATGTTAATAGTTTAATACTTTATATGTAGAAAAGAAATCTTATTAATATTATAAATTCGAATGTTTAGATGGATGTTTGTTTGAAGGTGTCTCCAGAATGGCTGAATGGCTTTTTACCTTGTCTCGCCGCATATACTTAACAGCAGGTCACGGATCCGGCTCGAAGGACCACTGTTTGTTTCCTACGCAAATTTGGCCGAAATTTGGACAACTCGACCAACGCACAACGAAACGAACGGAAACTACAAAACGCAACGACAACAATAACAACCAACAAACGCAATGAAAACACCGAACCAAACACCACCGGATCCGTGTATATGTGGCGAGTCAAGGTACTTCAACATCGCGTTTAGACAAATACGGTCTCGCCACAGCGCCATCTATTAGGGCGTAGCAAAAACGGCGCCAACAGGCTGAACGGATCTCGATGAAATTTGACATATATATAGAACATAGTCTGGAAGAACATATAGGCTTCTAATTGTTTTTAATTCCGCGCAGACGGAGTCATAACAGGTAGTGCAGAATAAATAAAATCATCGACTCTACGTCCCCACTGAGGGGAAGCCTACCCTAAGTTAGTAACTAGGTCGTAGTTAACACTGGCCCAGTGCGGGTTGACTTCACACTTATCTTTTGAATTTCTTCGCAGATATGTGCCATCACGATGTTTTCCTTCATCGAGTTAATATAATAAATGTTAATAAAACTTATATTGGAAGACAATTTTAAATATGATTCGATTAATAAATTTCTCAGATTTAAGGAATGTGGTCCAAAGAATAAAATCATTTTTCATATAAATAAAAATATGTTTAACATGAAAAACATTTAGATTATGTAGTGAAAGTAGTTTGAAAGGGCCTCTTTACTAGGAGTAAGTGAAATTTTATTTTTTATTTTTTTTATATGATAAGGTGGGTGGTTCTGCCACCCGAAATCGCTGAAATAGCGAAGTGACCGCTGCCCATAGACATACGCAATCGCATATGCGTTGCCTACCTTTAATCGACGGAGGAGAGGATGCACAGAAAGAAAATATCTTCCCTTTCCTTACATCCTCTCATCCGGAAAGCCCAGTTCCACTTCCCATCCTTTCCTCATAAAGAAAAGGATGGAAATGGAAAGAGGACTAAATTAGGCCTCCGGGACGCACACTCATCAGACGAAACGCGGATTTGCTTCCACTTGACGCCTGTCTTCTATGTGGTCGTGGTATTTCACCGGGCGAGCCGGGCCGATTCGTGCGAAGATGTTAAAGCGGGCTCTACCACTGTTTGCGAAGATGTTAAAGCGGGCTCTACCACTGTTTGCCAAGATGTTAAAGCGGATTCTACCACTGTTAAAAATGTTTTGGTTTTGCCTGTGCTTTTAAGGACAACGTACAATGTGTAATAACTAAGTAATGTAATTATTTTATCTGTGATGTATTTTTTAATTTTAAAATGAGTTTCCACTGACGAAACAATGCTAAGACGTATTATGTATTTTTTGCAAAGAGAATTTGTGTTATATAAAATTGTTATACAGTGGAAACTTATTAGAACAGTTGCCATTAAAATGTTTATTATATATGTTTTCTTTTTTTATACCATTATGTGGTAAACGAGCGAGTGGTCATCTTCATTCGACAAAGTGACCACTACCTATAGACATCTGAAATTGCAGATGCGTTGCCTACCTTTATCAACCGAGGACGCACAGAAAGAGGATTATTTTTGTCAAATCTAATCCTCTTCCCATCTTTTTACAATAAGAAAATAGTGGAAAGGGAAAGAACTTAAGTTAGGCCTCCGGCAGGCACACTACTCAGATTGTACGTAGAATTGCGTCCACTTAACACCTGCTTCTTTGTGGTCGTGGTATTGCAACAGTCGACAAATACACGAGATGTTGTGGTGGCGTTTACCACTGTTAAATCATATTCACTGATTTAATCACATAAATAAGATAATTTATGTACGACAAAACTAAAAACCGGTAGGAAGATGTTCAGGGTCATAGCTAAAATAATAACGTTCATAAAATACTATTTCCGTATCAGAGATTATAAACCTCAGTTTACATTATTCCAATCCAGCGACCCAAGAAAAGCGCTGGATTACATACGGAAAAAACCCACACTTAAACACATTGTAATTCTGAATGGTAGGGAGAGAACTCGATCCAAACACTCTTATTATAATAGTTGTTGCCCGTGACTTCGTTCGCGTGGAATTATTAAAAAAAAATTATAAATGTAGCTTATGTCACTATGGGAAAGTGTAGCTACTTAACAGTGAATTTCAATCGGTTAAGTAGTTTTATAGTCTATTCTTTTTTATATCATAAGGTGGCAAACGAGCGAGCGGTCACCTGAAATCGCTGAAATAGCGAAGTGACTGCCCATAGACATACGCAATTGCAGATGCGTTGCCTACCTTTAATCGCATTGTATTCAAAGCAAACAAACAATGAAATCTTTCCTATTCATTATCATAAAGTATAAAATATTAGCAGCAAAATTGAATCGATAAATACTTGATAAACTTGATTTTGGCATAATTTTAGAATATTTGAATACTATTAATGTTACGGAAGAGATTAAATTATTTTATAACAGATGAGAAATTAATCAAGTATTTGTATGTGTAAAATATAGGAAACAATCTGTTTATAATGAAAACCAGTGTCGGTTTCTCTCTCTCTCTCTCCCTATCTTGCATCCCACAAGGTGGTGGGGTCAGCTTTCCCAATCCGTCTCTTCCACTTCGCTTTGTCTATGACATCTTCTGAGACTTGGCACTCACTCATGTCTTTTATTACTACATCTTTCCATCTCGTTTTGGGTCTGCCTCTGGATCTGCGACCAGGGAGGGAAAGTTGTAGTCCTAAATTACCGACGTAGTCTAGTAGTCTGTCGGTTTATTTATAATATATTTGTTTAAAGTTCATTACTGTCCGTTTCAAAGAAGTTATGGAATGGTACCCCAGAAATGGAAAAAGACAGAGAGGACGTCAATCAAAGAGATGGGAAGATGACTTACCGAAGGGATGGAGAAGATTAGCCCGGGACAAGGAACTATGGAAAAATCTAGGGGAGGCCTATGTAGGGCATCCTGACAAAGCAACTGGAAGCTGAAAACAAAGCTATAATTTTTATTTTCTGTTTAAAAAAAAAGAAGTTGAAGTATATGTAAAAAAAAAATGATGTACTGGTCAGCGAGTAAAGGCTTATCTTATCTTATCTTACTGTCCGTTTCCACTATCAAATCAATTAAAAAGATTATTATCTTTTAAAACATTAAAAAAAACAATGTTGTCGCTATGTCTGTACAGACCGAATAAACTGGCGTCGACGTTTCAACGTTGTGTACGGACCGCGCAACACGATTTTCACTACGCAACTATACATTATTACTTTCAAAGATTTACGTTGTCTTGTGTAGGCCTTATACATACAGTGTTGCGTTTACGATGCGATTTTTGCTACATCAAAAGCGGGATATTTTACCTACACTGGAAAACATTTGCCATCTAAGCTACAAAATTGCTTTCTCAAAAGGTGGTTTATTTCGTAAATCTTTGCCTTCTAGTTTATTATTTTGCATATCATATATGATTTCTAGCGAGGCTAGAATTTTGGAAAATAATTTAACTATTTTATTACGTTTAATAGAAAGAGATAGGCTTGAAAATATATTTATCTTAACGCGAGATGCTCATATCGAATCATAGAGCTATGTTATTATAAAATAGAGTGGAAAATATTTTGTCACTTTTCATTGTCCATCGTAAACCTTAGTTGAATGCTATAAAGTTTACTATCTCTATGTTATACGATCGCACTAAACCCTTGCCTCGAGAGCTGCATGACTTCAATTTGTAGAATAGCATCTCTACAGCGCTTTCTGAAACGTCATAAAAGAATATGTGTCACTAGCTGTCGTTCAAGACTCAGTCCACGCGGAATTAAAAAAATAATTAGTAGCCTATGTGTTTTTCCAGACTGTTCTATTTAAATGCCAAATTTCAGTGAGGTTCATGCAGCCATCCCAGAGATACCTTCAAACAAACATCCATATATCCATCCAAACATTCGCATCTTATAAATGCGAATGTTTAGATTGATGGATGGATGGATGTTTGTCTGAAGATATCTCCAGAACGGCTGAACGGATCACGATGAAATTTGGCATACCTATAGAAAATAGTCTGGAAAAACACATAAGCTACTAATTATGTTTTTTTTTTAATACCGCGCAAACGGAGTCGCGGGCGATAGCTAGTGAGTACTATTAGTAAGATTTCTGGTCAAGCGGTTTAAGATAACTGCTTTAAAAATAAGTTGCAAAATTCCATCCGTACTTACATACATTGGAAATTAAATAAAAGCTTATAGAAAAAACTATCCAAACAAATATTATGATTTGGGACAAAATATAATTTTGCATAAAAAACTTAGCCTACTAAACCATATTTTAAATGGTCTAAGTAAATCGCAAACTTAAACCTAGACTTAAGGTAGTCGTGCTAAGTCTATCTTAGAGTAAGATTTACGACTAACTCCATGTCTCCAAACCACGAATTATCGGTGTAATAACAATTCAAGTAAGAGAAATAGTTACGTCCCGAATATTTAGCTTAGAACTTTATAGATCTTACTAATATTATAAATGCGATTGTTTTGATGGATGTTTGTTAGAAAGTATCTCAAGAACAGCTCAACTAATCTTGATGAAATTTGGCACAGTTGATAATCTGGAAGAACACATAGGCTACTAATTAAGTTTTCTTTAATTGACCTTGTTAGACCTATTGCTCGTCTGTTGATCGTAGTTACTGTAATTGTCGTCGTTGTTCCCGCTGTTCCCGCTGCTCGTTTGTCTTCTTCTGTTATAAAAAAGATTTCTTTTAGGATAACTTTATGAAGTTCTTCACAATATGTAAATCACATTCAATGAAATTAACTTTAAAAAAATGCAGTAATTTTTGCGTCATTTAACCTTCTAATAGGGAACAAATATTAATATTTTGTTAGTACTTGAATATGAAAAAAATGGTATTGGAATGCCAGACATTTCGTATAGGGGCTGAGTTAACGACTTCCGTCCTATAACGACTCAGGAAGTAAGGTTATATATTGATACACGAATCTTTCATATTGCTAAGGAAATTGAATAGGAAACGTTTTCTAATTAGTTGTCTGGTTCAAATAATAGATGGCGTTGCTATGATATTTTATTTTGCTTTAAACTTTTAAGCTTTGAAACAATTTAAATATAAAAATGCAGTAACATTGTTGCTTTAAAGAAGTGCGATCATTTATCATTAAACTAGGTGTCGCCTGCGATTCTGTCCGCGTGGAATTAAAAAACTTTAGTAGCCTATGTGTTCTTCTAAACTACGTTCTACATCTATGCCAAATTTCAGCTATCCATACATTAAAATATTCGCATTTATGATATTAGTAAGATAGAGTAGGAAATGTTC